TATCATATCTATATATATGCCTGTATTTATCTATCTATATGTATATGACTATGTGTATGTTTGTATATATATATATATATATAAATCTATGTCGTTATATGTCAATATATCTCTTTATTGTATATATATATATATCTATATATATATATATATTCAGATAAATTTACGTTTATATATGTGTATGTGTGTGTCTGTGTGCGTGTATATATATATATGCCTATATATCTATATATATATATGCCTATATATCTATATATATATGTGTGTGTGTTAAATATGTATGTATTTATATGCGTATATAAGTATATGTATATATATATATATCTATTTATATTTATATATATATATCTATACATATATATATATCTATATATATATATATATTCTTATTATGTGATAGTATACAGACAGTGAAATATTTTTATGCATCTATCCCACACGCTTTCGAAAACCCCATCTCTCTCTACGTTCCAGGCTTTTCAAGAGGTGGATCAACTGTCAAATGCTGAGTGGAGTGTTCATAGACGAAGCCTTGGAGATTATCGTGGCAGCCGCTTTCCTACCGGATTATAACCCGACGACTGAAATGGTATGTACAACAACACATATTCACATGAATTTGTATATCTAAGCTTGTAAGTTTACGTATTTTATCCCTGCAACCGTATAGGGTGCAGTGTCGCTTACATGCAAATATGCTATGATAAAACAAGGTTCTGGTTGCTCTCGTATTGTAACAATGTAACTATGCGGAACATCTATAGCAGGATTTATTCGAGTTACAAATTTGAATATGCGTTAATTTCTAACAAACCCACATCGGTCTTTATCTCGATTTACTGGTCAGTACTCAGGACCGTCTTGTCGTGGCACGTACAACACAAATCGACGCAAGATATTTCCACCGAATCATTCTTCTACATTAATAATATATATATATATATATCAATTATCGAAACCATCGAAACCATCCATCGTTATTTATGAACACCCCTCCATATACTATATATACGTATACACGAGACATGTCGCCGTTCCTTAACGTGTGTACGTTCATGTATTCGACAGAGTGACAGTGATGCCTCTCCCCATTCGGCGATGGCTGGTTTCCTGCGCGCGCTTGAGCTGACAGCCAATCACGACTGGACTAATGATGTCTTGTTCGTGGAGGGCATGACCAATGGGGTGGCCCAACCCACACTCACTGTAGCACAGCGACAGGAGGTACGTTTAGAGGGTTGGTATATTTTATTCGTCAAGTATACCTATGAAGGTCTGTCTATTTCTATAAATCTATCTATCTATATATATATATT